CATGGGCATACGTCGGCATTCCTCTATCCAGGAAATTACCCGACTGCTACCCTGTTTCCCTGAAAATAAGACATAACCTGAAAATAAGCCCAAGTAGGATTTTTAGGATGCTCATCATATAAGCCCTACCCCCAAAATAAGCCCCAGTGAAGTGAAACCCCGCCCTCCACCCTTGTGCAACCACCAGAAGAAGATATGACTCTAAAATAAAACATCCCCTGAAAATAAGCCCTAATGCGTTTTTTTTTGGACCAAAAAATAATAATAATATAATACCCTGTCTTATTTTTTTGGGAAACACAGTAAATTCATTCCCTCACCTCTTGCATCTCTGTTTAGCTCAGAGGTCTGAACTGGCAGACCTCTAAATATTAATGGACTGCAATTCCCAGGAGCTCTAGGGTAGTATAGCCAATGGTGAGGAACCACCAGAGATGCATTTCTGCAACATCCAAAACATACGTTCTCCAGCCCTTGTTTGGCTGCTATCGATCTTTGTTGTTCCCAGTTCCACTCACGTCACCGACCCTTTTTCCCTCCACCTACTTACTAGGCTAGATGGGTGGAGTATTAATGTAATTGATTAATAAGGCTGCAAGACAGGTTCTCCTCTTCCTCTAATTATGAAAAACCTTCCTCTTTTTCTCTTTCCTGGATCAAATATGTCTGCTGTTCTGTATCCCTTCCGACAGAGGTTTCAAAACTTCGGCCCTAAACTAGGAATTCCTAGAAAGGGTGCAAGACGGAAAGATTTTTACAAAGGAAAAAAACAACAATAACAACAACAACGCAAATATTTGTGTCGGCTGAAACAAATTTCTGTAATGCAGTTAACTAGGATTCGGACTGTGTGAAGAAAAACGACTTGTTTTTAACTTACAATAATTGTATTATGTTTTTGTGTTTATTTTTAATCTTGAGTTAGTTATTTTGGTCAGGAGGAGTTTGAATGAGGGTTAAAAAAAGCAACAGGGAGGCACAAAGGTTTCTTAACAATCAAAAAGAGGGTATAATGAGGAAATGTTTGGCAATGGCTGTTTTTACAACCATTTTCTAAGTGTTTACTGATCTCCTGCTTTGCTAGCAAAGTGCAATACCGGTAGTGAAAACCACAAAGGAGAGAAAGATGTGTCTTTTCCCTTTCTTCGGCTTGTTCACATAAGGGGTTGTGTGGCCCACATCACAACCGGTGCATGACTATGTGCATGAAGAACCACTATTCAATTCTGCTCCAGAACCAGTCATTTCTATGTAGCCTCTCAATTCTTTCCCTAGTTTGAGTACAGTAGAAAATTTGAAAGCACAACGCGATCTTCTGAGAAAACAGAGATATGCAAAAAAATGGTATGCAAAAATAAACTGGGGCTGTCTCTACACAGAGTCCAACAGAAAAGGTTGGAGTCCTCAATTCTGTACCGAAATGAAACATATGGCTTCTGTTCTACATTGCAAGAAGATCAACGGCTGCAATGCAAGGAACTTCCTTGGTTGCAGGAAAGAATCATGTTATCTTCAATTTTGTCCCCTTGTCACCACCCATTATATGTACCATATTTTTCGCTCCATAAGATGCACCTTTCCATAAGACGCACCAATTTTTTAGAAGAAGGAAACAGGAAAATATAATCTGTTTTCTTCGCTCCATAAGACGCATAGACTTTCCACCCCCCAGTTTTGTTGGGGAAAAGTGTGTCTTATGGTGTGAAAAATACGGTATTCAGTGCCTGAAGATGCTTTTAAGGTGTTCAGGTACAGAGTCAAATGAAATCCCGAGGAAACTGTGAAAACATGCTTTGTTATTCCCAATCGGAGAACACTGGAATTTAACAATTTAATAGCAGTAAATTTTGGAATATCTTTAAGGCCATCTTGCTCCAAATTTCCCAAACAAGTTGTGTATCCAAAACTTCTGCAAAGGATGAAACACCCTAATTATGTTAGTAACTTGTTCAACTGCAGCAAAGTAGAAACCTCATGGGAAAATTATTGATTTTAGTTCAAGTCAGATTATTCAGCAACACATTTCTACAAGTGTTCATTGCATAGCGTACCCAATGGAGAGAAAAAAACAACACCATGCATATTCTATGAAAACGCAGGAGCTACTTACGTTGAGCAGCTCCAACACAAAATGAAAATGAAGTGACTAAAATGCATAACAGTTGAAGATTTTTCATTTCCACTTTTTTAACACAAGGTTGTTGATGCGTTTAGACAAGTGTGTGTAATGAATTCCTGGATTTGAATAGCTCCCCGGAAGATTAATTTATGGGATGAAATTTCACAGGGAAAAAAGGTCAAAAATGAATCTTCAGCAAGACAAGAGTAAAGAAATAAGAGCCCTAGCTATCAGTTTCTTTAATCCAATTCGGCACATGCGTTTTTTTATAATGCTCAAAGCTTGTCTAGTTTTAATGCCAGTAAAAGTTGTGGGGAAAAAAAGGATGACTGAAACGAATCTACACTACATGGTCCTTGTATTATCTTGAGCTATTTAGACAGACTTTAAAGATTTATCACCTTGCTGCTTATAGCCTCCTGCACCTTCTACACAAAAGGTGATTGACGAGCCTCAGTTGCCTCATTCTCTCTAACCTGGAACTGAAGATTAAGATCCTTTACTCAAGGATGAAGGGCATTCTTCTACCTTCTGATGTGAGATTAACTAGGAGGGCACCTATCAGAGATCTGAATATGGAACTCCTTGGGTCAGGCCACTTTTCAGGGCATTTAGGTAACATTTGAAGACTGCTTTTTGTGTATGCTGATGGATTTTTATGCTTAAATAATGCTTCTAAGCCACCCAATAAACTACATGGAGTTGGAAGTGAGCAATGGACTTTTTTTTTAAAGATTAAGTCTTCAACAAGATTATGGCGGATATTTATTTTATATTATCCTGTTTTTAAAAAAAGATGACATAGGTTGTCTCTGCTGTTTTAGAGATGAGAAAGAAGGTTAGCATAGCACCATAGATATAATCAAGGGTACTGTGTAAGATACAACAACTTTTCAGGAGGCTAAATGGAGCTGAACAGATTCTCTCTGATACAGGACTATGTCATGCCACACTACATATCAGAGAGCGTTTTTACATTCTATTTTACTCAGTTCTATTCCAGATTATTACAAGCAGTGTGTTGTTGTTTTGACCTACTATCACGTAGCATGAATAGGAGAGTTAACAAGTTTGAGATCTCAGTGATGGGAAGGAGTGTTTGGTTCTCAACGTGTTATGCATTCATTTGCCACTTTTGCATGAAAGCTGATTGCACCATAGCAGCCCTCTTCTGCATGCACGCCAGCAATACCACAACATATTAAAGGGTGAGGAGCAGATGCTGCCATATACCTCTACTAAGGTCATTCTCAGAGCACTGACAGGTGAGGGCTCAATATCCACCAGCTGAACGGCATTAAAACTCTGAATGTCAAAGGTTGCACAAGGACAAAACACACACATACACATACACACACAACACAGTTAGAACTGCAAGGCAAACACAGTTAGGCAAATATGGTTAGTCAGGGAAAACTCAGCCCCCTGCCTTTTATGTACCCTTGGGGCTGGATGTAAATAATTTGCTGGAGATGTCCGGGAACTAGGAGCACCTTATCGTTCATTGGGGAAGACGTTTAGAGAACAACATTTAACTTTCAAGGGCACGACTATTGTTCCTAACAGGTCTGCCAGAATCTTTATCTGCCTGTCCTCAAAAATGCCGTGCTGAATTTAGAGAGCCAAGATTGTTCCTTGCTAAGCACAGTTTACCAAATGGCGGCAAAAAGAGGCTTTATTTTAAACCCACACTTAGTTTAAATTGGCACTTTCTATTTCTTAGCCGCAGATGAAACTCAGAAAATAGCTATTTTTAGATATCTAGTGAGCGATTTAACTTAAGGTGGGAATGTTTCTATACCACATAAAACCTTTGGGGACAGAGTACTAACTGGAGAAGTCTACGTAGAGGAACTATTATCAATCATTTGTTCACATTTTATTAGTCCTTGGCAATACCCTTGACCAACCCTTCTGTCTTGTATTTATGAATCAACTCTCAGATTAATGAATTTAATAACTTTAGCAAGACCCCAAACCACAACATTGACAAGCTTACAAGCAGGTGTTAATCTCATACAAGATATATATACTGTATATGAGCCTGTTTGGCTATTGACCGCCCTGTTCTATAACGCAGCAGCAAAGATGGGGATCGATTGCAAAATGGAACAGGATAGAGACTGGATCCAGCCAACTCAACCCACTATTAGCCAAGTGTACAGGAGAGCAGTTTATTCAACAGGCTTTGTCGTTTGCCTCCCCATGAACGTTCACACACCATCTGCAAGAGGGAATTAAGAGTGTGCCAATCTGCCCTGCCCTCCATGATGCATTCACCCTACAAGACCTTTGCATGCTGCTGGATTTCACGTTTGCTCACGGTACTGGGGTCTGTGCATATTTCAGATATGCACAGACCTCAAAACCTGCATCCCCAATCTTTCTGATCAGTACAACTCATGCCTGAGGTGTGACAATAGAGCCTATGCAGAGCTCTCGATGTCTACAGCTGAATGTCTATCATAAATCCAATATGCTCAAGGCAGAGTGAGGAAAGCACATCAGGAGGTAGAGGGGCAAGCTGGCATAATCCTGACCTAGAAGTCTGAGTAGGGCTAAAAAGCAACATACCCAGGGGTGGCATTAGGTGATCTTAAACCCACTGGATTTCAGTGGGCTCTACCACACTTCTAAGAATCTGCACAAGACTGCAGAGTTCAGAACAACACAGTACCAGGGCCCTTTGGGAAACACTCTGCCTTTTACAATTCATGAGAGCATACCCATACAGAGAGGTCTGCCTGCACACTGCAATCTGTATAACTTCAGACTTTGTTCTGTTTGTAGAATAGCTTCATAGGACCTTGGGTATTTCCAAGCATGAAAATAATTAATGAAATTAAAAATTTAAATTATTTATTTTGTAAAAGGCCCTTACAGTGTCACTGTCACATGGCTGGAACTGGAAGGACTGCGGTTTACGAAACACAGAATTCTCTTGTAAGAACAGCTGGAAACTGTAATCTCGCACTACCTGAAAGAGACAATAAATAAGTGTAAGGGCATTTTGTGCCGTGTTATTAAAGAAGAAGAAGAAAACAAAGCAAATGTTGTGCTAATAATAACAGATTTTCATTACAAATACAATGCGATTAGGTTGGCAGTTAACTTGGATTGAATATTTCTTGATCTTACGTAGAAATAATGCCCAGAAAACAATGCAACCTATTTGGGACCCCAGAATCCTATGCAGCAAACAGCTCAGTTATTAATAGAACATTAAGCTTCTGGTTACAGTAAAGTATGGGAAAGTAAGGGGATCTAAAATAAACTAAGAAAGTCAAATTATACCAACATAAGCATCTGGTATAATGTTTTATAATGTTAACCCAAAGAGAGGGTTAACCGCTATGTCCCAATTCCAAACAAAAACCGTATCAGTACAGAGCTAATTTACTGATTAATATTTGGGTATATGGACTTTTCTATGGGCCAGTTTATTTTGGGCTGTGTGGCTTCTATGATTACTAGAATTTGTTTGACACATGTTAACCAAATGGCAATGCAAACTTGGTACTGAAAGCAGGAAGAAGGTGTTTTGTTTTGTTTTAAATATCAGTGATAAGCTGACCTGGCACCTGCCCAGAGTTTGGAATGTCACTTTTGTTTTCTATTACTCTTTGCTTTTTTTGGGGGGGGGATCCTGATTAACACTGCTTCTCATTAAATAAGTGAGTTGCTACATTAGTACTTACTAGGATGCTACTTTTTAGGATTTGTTACAAAAAACTTTATTTTTGTCCATTGTTGGACCTTTAAGGTTTTTTTTTGAAACTTTGTGAAAAATAAAGTTGAAAATATGACAGCTGACAAATGTCTCCTTCCCCTCTTGTAACATAATGAGAATGTGCTACTCACACGACTAGAGTTTTAACTAGGATATATTACAATGTTTTTGTAAAAATATGTCATTTCCAAAAAATAACAGGCTACAGGTCAAACCGTTCCTTTATGTGTTGTACCTGACAGCTGATTTAGCATCAGATCTAAAACAGTGAAATCAACTGAAGCTACTTGTGAGTTATTTGTCCATATAGCTCCAACAGATGGGTGAAAAGTGGGGGGTGGGGGTGGAAGGAGAGCTATTTTCTTTTTGCGGAAGCATGATTCGTTAGAACCAGCAGCTAAGAAAGGATACACAAGCATTCCCTACAAAACACAACATGGGGCACAAATGAAACACCACAACAGGTAGCTCAAATAAATGACAGCACAAGCCTGACTGAAGGTCTTGATGGAGCACCTTGCTTTTTTTATTTTTTTATTTTTTGCACCCTGGTCTTCGTGTTCTTCCTGTTTCAGTTCTGCCCCTTCACAGCTAGGCTGGCACAAAAAATGCTACCGAGTAACTGAAAAACTTACCCGACTGGAAGTTTCCAAAAGAAACTGGAATGTGCTTTGAACAGCTTGACACATTTCTAATTCAGTCCTGCTGAACGCCATTAAATAATCCTTAAGGTGATCATATACACTCCCGTCAAGAGCCTGTGTTAAAGGAGAGAGAGAGAGAGAAAGAGAGAGAGAAAACCAAGGCATGAATGAATGTGGGCCATTTTATAAGATGCATTTATTCACCTCCAAGCCCTCTGTGTGATATCAGTCAGCTCTGAGAACATGACAAGCACTCTCAACAGAGCAGGGGTTAACAATCCATTCCCACTAGCTGGCCATACAGAGCACTCTAAACAGGTAAATAAGATTTTACTCAGAAAATGAAGAGAGACTAGCCCTGTAACTGTACGCTTTGTTGGAACTGCTGTGTTCCAAAAAAACGTACTCAGAAAAGGAGTAATAATGACAGTTCTGGGTGGTTAATGGCACAGTAATTGTTAATTAGTTGTGGCTGATTAAATGTGGCAGGTACAACTTAGGCTTCCAGCGTTGGGTCGGTGTCGCTTAATATCTGGTTGTGAAGCCAAGGGTTGGGAGTTTGCCCCAAGGTGACTTGCAGGAGAAGAGCCAGTCTATGTAGCTTTGGGCAAACTGCATAGTCCCAGAGACCCCCGCCCCAGAAGGGAAGAGTAAACCACTTCTGAATATTTTGCATCTAGAAAGCCTGGACTGGGCTTCTCTATGTTGGAATTAACTTCATGCCACTTGAAAAATGAAATTCCCCAATTCTTCATCCCCTGCAGAAGAAGACTACCTGCAACCCCACCACTGATGATGACCACCATTCGCAATGAAATGACATCAAGACTAACTAGTTTTACTGTATTTGGGATTTGTAGATTGCACTGCAGTTTGTGGCAATAAACCTTTTAGTGTTTGAGGTGCCCCAAAACTCACAGCTATTCTTCTGCAGCAAAACACTGTTGCCCACTTGGAAACTAGAGGAACACATCGTTTACCATGAGGTCAACTGGCACATCAGATAATCTCTTATACAGTAATTCTGGTTTTAACAATTAGCAGCTTCATGCACCTAAGCAGACAATTCAGACATGGTGCCCTCTGAGAGGACTTACTCCTTTCTTCCCAGTATAAATCTTTTCTCCATCTGTAGGAGTAAGGCAAGGGGCACTCCTAACATCTGTATTTGTAAAACTAACATAGCATCGTTTGACCTAGTGACTAGGAAAGGATTCCTATATCATTTCAGGTGTCACTTAAATCTCCTGCCAAGATCTGCATTCCTACAACTTCCACAGTTTCTACTGCTCTGCAAAAGTGAAGGGACAATGTTCTAACCTTGTTGGAGGACAATATGGCAAAGGGGAAAAACAGATATAATTTCCAGCTGTGCAAAAAATGTAGAGAACGGTTTAACACAGAAATAGCAGGCTCACACACACTCTCTTCGTTTCCCCTACTGAACCTAAAAGCTGCAATGCAAGTCAAATGGCAAGTGGCGTTTCACACATTCGTAGATTAGGCAGGTACCATAACATTCAGGCGGACTGCCAGCATCTCAACAAGACTACAGTACTCTCTTAATCACAACCAAAGTACAGCAGGAACCTAGAGGATTTTTTAGGACTTGACAACCATACACAACGGGCACAGAGCAAGCACATAGTCATGACAGAGAACTCTGTGGTGTCAAAACAAACCTATTGTCAGATCTCAGCGCTATCTGGAAAAGAAAAAGCTAACCATGTCTGGATGGGCATCATTCGATACATCCCCATTCCATGAGTGTTGTATTGGTTTCACTAATTAACTCTTTCTTACCATTCCTTTTTCCAGTCTAAACCCTCTCTGCCATAAGCTACTACATAAAGGCTGGAATTCCATTTATCTGGCAAAATTTAAAATTGCATGAGTGGCGTGCCAGGTGTTACACCCTGGCAGCCCGTACTGTGCAACTGATCACACTGTTTGTGTTCTGAGTTTGTCGTTTCCAGAGTGTAACCACTTTGCAGTCCACTGACTGAAAATATCCTGTTCGAGTCCAATTTAGTTCACTGACACCAAACACTACAATCTTCACAGTCATGGCCAAAAATACTGGGCAGCCTTGCAATTCTGTCAGAAAATGCACACCCTGGCAGCCCGTACTGTGCAACTGATCACACTGTTTGTGTTCTGAGTTTGTCGTTTCCAGAGTGTAACCACTTTGCAGTCCACTGACTGAAAATATCCTGTTCGAGTCCAATTTAGTTCACTGACACCAAACACTACAATCTTCACAGTCATGGCCAAAAATACTGGGCAGCCTTGCAATTCTGTCAGAAAATGCAACCCTTCTCTCAGAAAATTGTTGCAGTTGCAAATGTTTTGGTAGTCGCATGTTCATTTCTTTGGTTTGCGTTGGAACAACACACACAAAAAAGAAGGAAAGTCAAATCTAATACAAATCCCACATAGAAACCCCAAAAATGCACTGACCAAAATTATTGGTCTTACTAAAAGAGATGCCAAATTAAGACGGAAAGGCAGGTTTGGCAGGGGTTTACCATTGCCACCTACTGCACAGTTCTAACAAAAGCTACGTTGAGTGTGAGGAAAGAACTCCCTCCACAGCACCAAGAGCAGCCGACTGATGCTCAAGCCCCTGCTGACCAGACCGTCACCACCACTCTGTCCAGGCCTCCTCCCTCTGATGGTCAAGAGCATCTCCTCATCCTCCACGGCTCTTCCCCGACACCACAGCTCTCTCCCCTTGCTTCTCCTCCACATCCTGCTCTGGTCCTCTTGCTCCTCACCCCTGCCAAGATCCCCAGGTCCCCGAGCCTGAGAAGCAACTCCTGCCCACTCTGCCTGAACCTCATTTCAGCAGAGCCCCTGAACCAAGCTCCATGAAGGAGCTGGGCAGCTCTCAAAAGGAGGAGGAGGTCAAGGAGCCCTCGCTGAGGATGCAATAACTCTGGCACAGACTACGGTGCAACCATCCTCCTCAAGGCAGTTACTGGGCGGCAGGCATCGCCAAAGATGAAATGACTACAGTGGACCCTCGGCTTACAGACGGCTCCACTTACAGACTTCTCTGGCTGCAAAATTTAGGTCCGACTTGCAGCTGGAGAATCGACCTACAGACTGGGGAAAAAAACACAAATGGAACAAAAACGGCCAGTTACGGATTAATCGGTTTTCAATGCATTGTAGGTCAATGGAGACTCGACCTACAGACTTTTCGACCTGCAGCCACTGTTCCAATACGGATTAATTCCATAAGTCGAGGGTCCACTGTAGAATTACAAAACTCGGGCTGCTGCAATATGGACACAGCACGAGCAGACAAGGTGCAGTAGAATAGATAAGAACACTACAGAAAGTGGAAAGTAGTAGGAAAAAATGGAGACGTAACATGAGGTGTAACTTGTTCATAAAGCATAAAGGAGGTCACAGCCTTTAGTTCAGAGTAGCTATTCAGGGCTGATAATGATGCAATGTTTTGGAGGTTTTATCATAGAGTCACGTATGTTGGAAATGACTTGAGGGCACACATAACAACAACAACAACAAAACAGCTCATTTAAAATGTAAAAAAAGAAGAGTAGTTAACGTCATGAAGCAACTTTTTCTGATCGTAATTGGCAGAACATCAGGAAATAGAGTAAGAGCATGGACCCTGTAGAGATTCCTGGGGACAGAGGGGAGTTCGCATATGAATCTAGAAAAACTACAACCCTGAGTAGGATTTCTCTTAGTACAGACAGGGTATCTCATGATCGGGATTTGCTTTACCATAATAGCAACCCAAAGCATGGAAGACATGACAGCCGTCTTCCAAGATCTGAAGGGTTGCCCCAGGGAAGAGGGCATCAATTTCGTCTCCATGGCGCCTGAGTGTAGGACAAGAACCAACGGGTGGAAACTTGCCAGAGGGAGATCCAACCTGGAAATAAGGAGGAATTTCCTGTCGGGGAGAAGCATTCAGCAGTGGAACAGCTTCCCGCCCGAGGTGGTAGGTGCCCCTTCACTGGAGGTTTTCAAGAAAAGACTGGACGGCCCCCTGAGGTCTCCTGCCTTGGGCAGGGGGTTAGACTAGAAGACCTCCAAAGTCCTTTCCAACCCTACGATGACTCTATGATGATTCCTCTCGGGAAGGAATGTTGCTGTGGATCAGTTAAAGTTTGCAAAGATAACATCATTGCTAACCTAGATGGCTCCTCCCTCATCCCAGTTTTCTTCCCAAAGATCACCTGCTCTCAAATAATTTCTGCCTGGCTAGAAGATGAGAAGCCTCAACAACTATACCAAGTGCTTCAACGGTGTTCTTCTTGGATCTGAAATAAATAGTCAAAGTTTCATATTATAAGCTGGACTGCCGTGCTTTTAGGAAGTGAGATTAATGGCCTCAAGATATGCCAGCTTCAAAAAAAACAAAACAGACAGAACATCTGCCAGAGCTGCACTATTTA